GCCCCCCCCACCCCCCCCCCTCCACCCCGCAATTCCTCCCCATGCCCTGCTCTGGTACTGCCTCCCCACTGTTCCAGCCACTGCTCCAGGACTGCCTTCCCCTGATTCCAGCCGCTGCTCAAGGATGGCCTCCTCCTTCCCTGGCTGTTGCTCCGGGACTGCTTCCATGTGCCAGCCGCTGCTCCAAGATTTGCCAGCTCCTCCATTCCCCTAACGCAGAAAGGGGGGAGAAAAGAGAGAGAGAAAAAAAAGGCAAGGAACAGGCAGTACAGAGGAGCTCTGGCTGGAGCGTCTTACTCTGCCTCCATCTTGCAGATATGGTCCTTAAATGTAAAGGAGTAAGGAGGAGGAGTGAGGGAAAAAGGAAATAATGCCAATAAAATTAATCTAAAACAGACAGCATTACAGAAACAAGAAATGAGACAGGCATGTGTTTGGGAGAATAGTCGTAATCTTCAACTTGTTGGTCAATGAAGAGAAATTTGGTGGATGCATTGTAGGATTGCAAATGAACTCAAGGAACAGCAGTGAAACTGCAAAAATGCCAATGCTAAGTCATTGCTTCAAATACGTTGTACAAGATTTAATCCATTAAGCTCACCCTCCAGGGAAAAATCTAAATTAAATTGTCCAAGGCTTGTATCAAGCTATTAAAATTACTTAGAATAATGAACATTTTTTTGGGGACTTATCCATACACCAGAACTGTTTTAATTCCTTCCATTAATTACTCAGGTATCTAAATTCAAACTAGTTGGAACCCAGCTTTCTAACAGATTGCTCCCTAGTTCCACTAAAGTCTCCAATTACCTTATAATGTCAATCAGGAGGAATTTCCAAGATTTCAACAAGAGGTAAGAACTGTGACTGAGCATGAAAGTGGCAATGTCAATACAAAATTCACAGGATTGAAATCACAGCTTCAAGCCCCACTGAAATTCTAATAGCAGAGCCAAGTCTTAAACTTTTAGATAATGTTGTATGTGCAGCTAAGCCAAGTCTGCATCTCACCACTGGTAGGTTTACTCTCACTATTCTCTAAGTGTGGGGATCCACAGGGTTTGCTTGGTCTCATATGGTACAGGAAAACTACCTACTAGTTCAACCAAAGAAGGCTCCTGTGTTGAACAAGAAGTAGCTTTTTATATGTTCACAACTCGTTGCAGGTTACATCGAATATGATGGATGTTAACAGAGGCCTTGGGAGATATTTTGTCTCTACCCTTTGAGATCCTAAGCTGTTCTGCCTACAAGCCCATATAAAATCATTATTAATGGGCAGTGCTAATGGCACTTCTCAGTAATAACCCTTTCAGACCCATAAACAGCACCTTCTGGAAGTTTTTATTCTAATTATTATACATTTATTTGTATAATTACACGTGACTCTAACCAAACTCTCCCAACTTTTTGCCTTTACAAATTAAGGCATCCTGGAGATTTCGCTGTTCTCCTAAAACATCAGAAGTTGGAAGACTGATACTTTACTGGGTGGAAGATTCTTGATTATTTTCCGGATGGTCTGAGGTCTGAAGTTTCCTTTAAATTGGAGAACCTTTAATGTCCCATTCTTCCTTGACAGCAGATATTCTCTCTGCTGAAACAAGCAATTTCTTCTTTGAGTATCTTAATCACTGGATATTGGTCATCCCTTCATGGAGGCGGATTCCCTGGAGTTCTATGCAATACATCTTCAATCTGCTTCAGCAGATTTTCATTTGCAGCATGCTTGTAGATCTGTGATGAATTCTGGAGAGTCTTTACTTTAATTTGTTGATTGGTTTTGACATTATATTTCACCATCAGGAACTGCATTATTAGTGAAACTAACATATTCCCTTCCTCATTTTGCTTTTTGAGGATTGCTCCTAGCTTGGCATGAGCTCTCCCACTGTTACTGAGGATTCTTCCAAGGAAGATAAAACCGTCAAAAATTCTGCTTGAACTGGTCTCTTCCAATTCACCTTAGCACCTAACATCTGACTCAAAACTGTTGGAACTGTTTCCCAAGCTGCACTGCATCAGTTGAGTTGCTGAGTTACATCACTTCAAGATTTTTCCATTAACTAAAGTGGGGAATGTTGCGTATGATCTCTCTCATTGATTGTATTTCCATGTAAATCTTGTTGATTCTTGCAGTCTGAATTCTCTTCAGTGTTGATAGCAGTGGAAAACATTTCTCCCAAACCAAGACAGTCATGGCTTCCTATTTCTAGGAAACATTCTTTGCCATAATAGCTAATCTCAATGGATTCTAATTTCTCTTTGGGTTCCGTTATGAGTCTCGAGAGGCCTTTAAAATCTTTCAGTGGTAGTTCTTTGACTAGTTGTTCCTTGACTTCAACTATTTTAATTGCATACACCATTTTAAAGAAGATTAAAGTCAACTCACACATTTCTACTCAAGACTGAGAATTCTTGATTGTGAAGTATGTGTAGGTTTTGTTTTACTGTTTGGAATCTGCTATTTTGGAGACTTGCTTGTAGCACATCTTTAATCTTAAGTGCAATGCTTCCGAGACCATGTTGCTGCACTGTCAGAAACTGTAAACAGTGTTTTCCAAACCGTAGCTCAGTACCAGATAATAGTGTGACACAACACCTAGCTTGAAATACTTGAGATGGCCTTTGACACAAATATCAAATTTCCAAAACATATGGTTTCGACCCGCTACATCTCCTTACAATACTTCAGGTATTTGTTTTTTGTAGACTTCTTTTTGTCTCATTAACATCTGTGTGGGGTATTTACCTATTTATTTGATTTATTGCTCATCTGAAACTTTAGGCACAATTCTTCCCTCCCTGAACAATGGTAAGTTATGGTGACAAAACGGCATTTGCATTGCAACTTACACCAAAGATCATAGCAATTTTCAAGGATTTTCCTTCAAAATCTAATTAATAGAAGAATCTCTAGTTTGTAAAAATAGTAACTTTGTCAGATGACTTTTATTCACAAAAAAGACTTCTAGTGGGGAAGATGGTGGCACTGTGCAACAAAAAAAATCACATTCTCAGCACCGAGAAACATTTTACCAACTTTCCCCTCCAACTTCAAATTATGACTTAAAAATCTAATTATTGAGAGGCAACAGCCATATTTTCATGATTTGCGCCTCATTAATGCCCTAATTTGCCTTAATCACAACTCACAATTCTCCTCTCTTCCACCAAGAAGCCAGACAGTGCAAAATTCTGACAGGTCCATCAGAGCACCATGTGATAGGCTGCAACCTTTCTCTTAGTATGGGAGTCTACAGGGACTGCTTGATCTAGTGTGGTGGAGGAAATTTGCACTGGTCTAACCAGAAAAGGTCCTTATGTTGAGTAACAAGTAGCTATTGCATATTGGAAACTAATTGAACTAATTGCAAGTTACATGAGTATGACAGACATTGTTACAGAGACTACGAGGAAACCCTGGACATTTGTTTTACTTCTCCAAGGTCCTAAGCCACTGCACCCACAAGTCCACATGACATC